AAAATAAGCCAGTGGACGAAGGATTGGAAAGTGAAGTTGAATGAAGAAAAATCGGTTCATATAAACTTCACCAATTGAAAAATAGTGAATCCACCACAAATTAACTTAAATGGAACGAACATAGTAATCCATAACTCAGCAAAATATCTAGGAATGAAGTTAGATGTCAAGCTAGGTGGAAAAAGCATATAAAGAAAAAACACACAGAATTAGAAAAAAAATATAGAGAAAATTATTGGCTCCTAGGCAGTAAGCCCAATTTGGCAATTGATAATAAAATATTGATTTATAACCAAATCATTAAATCAGTGTGGCTTTATGGCATTCAACTGTGAGATTGTGCCAAGAGGACTCACATTAACAAAATTGAAACCTTCCAGAATAAAGTTCTACATTGTATGGTAAATGCGCGATGGTATATACGTAACCGTGACATCCACAGAGACTTAGGAATTCCTTTAGTTATAGAAGAAATTAAGAGTTACGCTACAAAGCATAGGACTCGTCCAAAACAACATGTAAACTTCTGTCATAACGCCATTATGACTAGCAGCTCGGCTGCTAGACAATGGTGTTATGACAGATAGATTTGAACGAACAACACGTTTTGATTTAACACAAAATACCAATTTCCTTATGGAAGGTATTTAATTCCTGTACGAAAAAACCAAGTTAACGAAGAGGTAATAGTTGGTTTGTAGAACCAGTTTTACCCGTTCAGAGTTTAGGTGATTTTTTAGGGTAGATGTTACTCCCCCAAGACTGTCGGAGGAAAACGAGAGGTAGCGCCATCCTTTGCTTGCTTTAAAATGAGTAGTAATCGATCTAAAGTTTGTATAGATATACGAAATGTAATTGTAAACCTGAAAGAGCAAGGTAAAAGTTATGCTGAAATTGCAGGAATCGTCTAAAGACCAAGAGCTACCGTGCAAAACGTTATAAAAAACTATAAGACAAACATTTATTTTGAAATATCTTCTGGTAGAAGTAGCAAAGCTATACTTTCGGACCATGCAAAGCGAAAAATTGAAAGAATTTTGAAAGTTGATCCAAAAACTAGTGCTCCTAAGATAGCAGCTGGTCTAAAAAGTCACCTAAGCATGTTTGTAAATCCTCAAACTGTACGTAATTTCCTTCACAATAAAGTTTTTAGAGGCTGTGTTTCACTCAAGAAACCTTCATTATCTAAAACGAATGTTGAAAAACGTTTAGAGTAAGCCAAACAATTTGTTTCACAACCTAATTCGTTTTGGGAGTCAATAATATTTGTTGCCGAGTTCAATTTTAACATTTTCGGATTTGATGGCCGTCGATTCGTTTGGTGTAAAGTCTTTTAGAAAACAAAAATTTAACTCCCACCATCAAACATGAACGCGGAAACGTTATGGTTTGGGGGGCATTTGGAGCAAATGGTGTGTAAGAGCTAGTACTCATGGAGTCAATTATGGACAAGATGGGATATTTGAATATTTTGAATAACCGAAGAATGGAACAAAATTTCATCTGAAGATACAAAAAAGTTGGCGTTATCAATGAAAAATTGATTATCAGCAGTTATAAAAAGTAAAGGAAACCATGCTTTTTCTTAATTGTATTTTATTTTCATAATATTTGCAATGTATGTGCAATTTTTTGGTGTACATATGTACCATTTTTTGACTATGTTTTTATTAAATTTTAAAAAATTTAAAAATGTTACAATTTTTTCAAATTTACTTTTAAATAATTATTAAGTTTTCTTATTTCTATTCTGGAATTGAAGTTAAAAAAATTCATTTTTTGTTAGAAAAAATCAATTTTTCTAAAAAAATTTTTTGATGTAGTGTACGTACGGCACATGAAATTTTAACCTTATGTCTAGTGCTTTCATATATCGAAAAGTGTTTAGTTAACTTTTATGAAATGAAAAATAAAATACTATGAAAAATAAATTTCGTTCTCATTAAAATAAGATTAACAAAATTATTACCTAACTTAATATAATTTTATTTCAGTTCGCTATTTTTGATACACTCGTTTGTTTACAATATTTTGTTTCTTTCTTGCCCATACATCTCTTATTATATATTTCTTAATAAAACGGAAATATTTTGAAAATAGTGGAAGTGGCATGCAAACGAAAGAAATCACATAACTAAAATTACGTTTGCAATTAGTTATGTTAAAGCGTCTGGGATAATACTTGCTGAACAAAAATCAGAGAAAACGATGACATTCTTATATATCACAATGGTTAGGCTATTGCTGCTTAGCTTGAGATGAGACGAAGATTGAATTCTGAAATGATCGTAGATATCGTATAAACGATGTCTAAGATCTAATGTCTTTATATCTAACAAGTCCCAATGCTCAGAGAGAAACTTGAAAGCACGACCTTATTTGATATGGGTTATTTTAAATCGAAGTGGCTATTTTTTGAGAAAAATAAATTCACACTTACTATGAAGCAGGTAAAATTTAGAAAATACATTTGAAAAATCAAAAAAATATATTAATATTTTCATTGATAATTATTTTAAAATTTAAAAAAAAGCGGAAAAACAACAAGCACATCTTTCGCCTTCAACGTTTTATATGTTACTGAAAGCATTTCATTATTTTTAAGTGAACAGCTTTTTTTTCTCATAGGGTAAGATAACTTAAGATATGGGGAGTAACTGTGGTGTCAAGCTGAAAATATAATTAATGAAAGATAATTCTTAAATATTGATATAATTACATAGTAAAGAAAAAATTTGGAGAGGGAATTAGAAAATAATATCTAAAATACAATCAAATATTATTTGTTAAATACAAATTTTATATAAACTTCAAAATTTTACCTCTATTTTTATTTGAAAAAATATTAAAAATTTACTATCATTTATATCAATTACCTAAGAAAAAAAAATATTTAAAATGTTTAAAAAAAACAATCATATATTTTTATGACCCGATTTGAATATTTTTCTATTTTTGAAATAAATGGTATTTTACCAAATTACTCAAAAATTCCGACTGTAAAATAACAGGTATTTTAAAATTTTTGTTCAGGTATTTTAAAATTCTTTCCGTTTAGAATTAAGATAGGTCATACATACACATGCAGGGACATTTTATAAATAGATTGCTCTTGTTTACCTGCTAATAAAATATGAAAAAAGAGCACAGCAAAATTTCTGAAGCACTTAATATAACATGTTTGAAATAGTTTTAAAATAATTATTTAAAAAAAAATTTATTGGAAGTAGGTACATACATATTTATTTTTAATAACTTAAAAACTAATTGAAATTATTTGAAACAATTTTATAAGTAACGTATAAATAACCGAAATGAGATAATTCAAATTGTTGAAATGTGTCAACCTATATTACTTTTAATAACATTTTTGTTAGCCGACACTACTCAACTTACCTTATTGGGAAATACAAAATGTGCATAAAAAATCATACATCCTTCCTCATCAACATTTGAAACCATACTGAAATATGAATTTGAAATTTTTTTTCATTTTTTCTTTCCTCCTACCTTTCTTTCTTTTTCTTGCAATAGAAATATAGAATTTAAATGGGAAGCTTTTTAAAAAATGTGTAGGTATAATATCCTGAGATTTTTTAAAATATTAAACTCTTTTTTACTTAAAAAAAGAAAACAATAATAAAAAATATGACACGATCATTGGCATTTAAAGAAAAAACCAGCAACGAAGCCAAAAACTCGTAATATTTCGTAAAAAAAATTGAGTATTGGGACCAAAGTATATCTACTAACAAGTAGTTCGACTCTCCGTTTACATCACACTAATGCAATCACTCACCAATATTTGTATAAAAAAATTCCCTTAGTTAAAAGAGTTAAGCAGTATACCTTCTTATTTTCATTTTTATATACATAAGAATTTTTGGGAAAGGGAAAGAGTACGCAATAGATGTCAACCTGTTTTTTTATAATGTAATTTTGAAAGGCGACACTTTATTATTTGTTTCTATATAAAGTATAGGGAAAAATATTAAGAATTTTAAAAGCGACACAATAATTTCTGTAATTCATTCCAGTACAAGGTGGCAAAAAATGTGTATTCATATTATAATAGTGAAGAAGAAAAAAAGTTAAAAAAAATTATTATAATTTATATAATATAATTTTTAAAAATAAATTTTGAAAAGACGTACAATATTAAAAAAAATTTAAATAGTTGTGAAAAAAATATTTTTTTTATAAAAATGGGTAAATATTATTTGAAGTGTTTGGGATGAAAAAAAGCCGACACGAAAATTTCATTTGTTGCCAAAAGATGTGAAGAGGTAAATATGTACTTTTGAAAATATTTTAAATATTTAGTGTTAGGCATTTGTAATTAATAAATAAAATAAATAAGTTATCTTTAAATTTTTTATTTTTATTTCAATCTTAATAAATTTAGAACATATTTCCCATGAATAATATATTTCCCGGTAATAATTATATTTCATAAAGTAATCAGTATGCATACACCTCTTTTTCTTTATAAATTACTTTATTTCTATGTCACTACCTGATACTGTGCATCTACTGTACCAGATACATGCATGTGTACATTCATACATGAAATTTTAAACTATTTTGCTTTCATACATTCGAATTTTTTACCTAAGTTTTATAAAATGAAAAATAAATTGTGTTATTATCAAAATAAAAATAACAAAATTTTTACCTAACTTAATTTAATTTTAGTTCAATGTTTTTGATACACTCGTTTGTTTACAATATTTTGTTTCTTTCTTGTCTACACAACTCTTATTACCATCTATTTCTACAAAAAAATGGAATATTTTAAGAATTTGGAAGCAAGATGCAAACGAAAACTAACGGAATGGAACGAGTCGAATTACTTATTAGTAGATATACTTTGATTGGGACTTGTTAGATATAAAGACATTATAATATGATCATTTGCATCCGTTGCAACCTTTTTTGTAGTTGGCTGCCTTGTTGAAGTGTTTTGCTGTTGGTACATATGTATGTATGCATATCACACATAGTTAATTTTAATTTGAATGAGTTTTTGAATAAAATTGTGGAACTGTTTTTACTGTAAAATATTGAATGAAAAAATTTTTTAAGATGACTGAGGAATCAATTACTACTCGATTACATAGATTAAATGATTTGATTATTGGAAAACCTACCACGAGTAGCATTTTTCATTCGGCCCTATCCAGAGAATGTTTATTAGACGCTCTTTTTATACTGTATAATGAGTGTAGCAAGGATAATGTGAAAAAGCGGCATAAAAACATTTCTGAATTCGTAGCTAAATGTTCGATTTTCTGAATAACATTTGAATATTGGTATTTTGAAAGCTAATTAATGTTTTTCAGATGGTAGTGTGATGAACGAAGTAAAAGCCTTAAGAATAAATACTGGAGATTTTAACGAAAGTGCATTGATAGGCGAAGGGTATTTTGGTTCGGTTTATCTAGTGTCTGAAAAAACCACTGGAAACTTATACGCAATGAAAAAAATTAAGAAAAGCATAAATTCTTTGCAAGTAAGAGAAGAGCGGGAGATAATGTCAAGAAGATGTTCAAAATGGATTACCAAATTGCAATACTCTTTTCAGGTGAGTGGGGTAAAATATTTTGAGTGGTGTAATTGATTGAAGAGTGCTTTCCGAAGTAATTTAATATACATACCTATGTAGGACTCAGATTTTTTATACTTGATAATGGAATATATGCCTGGAGGAGATTTAATGAGCTTAATGATTAAAACAGGCCGATTCGAAGAGGATTCAGTAAAGTTTTATTTGGCTGAAATAATAGTGGCACTGAATGAATTACACCTTATTGGGTTCGTTCATAGAGATGTAAAACCAGAAAATATCCTTATTGACCGTTTTGGTCATATAAAATTGGCTGATTTTGGAAATGCAACTGCCGTTAGTAAAAATGGAAGTGTAATTAGTTTGTCTCCGGTTGGAACACCATTTTATATTGCACCCGAGCTTCTGCGAGCTATAACCTTAACTTCGAAATCTGTGCATGACGTAAGTACAATCTCTTATGGAAGCAATCTTTTTATTTGTTGAATTTCAGGTTACATGCGATTTTTGGTCAGTGGGTGTAATTGGTTACGAAATGTTTTATGAAACAACACCTTTTTATGATGAAAATATTCATGAAACTTATTCGAAAATTCTTAAATACTGCGAAGAAAGCACCGAAAATGAAAAAATTACTTTTCCGTTTAATGTAAAAATTACTGATGATTTTAAAAGTTTAATAGAAAATTTAATAAATAAACCATCGAAACGCTTAACTTTTTCAAAAATCAAAAATCACCAATTTTTCAAAAATACGAATTGGAATTCATTGCATGAGCAAATTCCTCCATATATTCCATTCCTTAAAGGTGAAGATGATGTATCAAATTTTGATTGCGCTAGAAAAATACAGAGGAAGCAAAGTAAGCATATAACACAAAATATTTATTCTAAAGATTTTTGTGGTAAAGACCTCCCATTTTTGGGATATGGCTTTATACATGAAGAAAAATTTGCAACAGTTAATATAAATGAAGTAAGTAATGAATTGCAAATAGTTCAATTAAATAATAAAATTAAGGAATTGGAATTGATCAAGAATAATCAAGTGGAAGAAATCACACATTTATACAATAAATTATTGATCGCTGAAAAAAGAGGTGCACAGTCTGATTTGACAGAAAAAATTTTACATGAAGCTAAAGATGAAATTATAAGAATGAAGGAAATGTTAAAAGCGAAAACTTTCGAATTAGCTAAATCGAAAACAGAAATTAAAACGTTACAAAACTCATTAAAAATTGAGGAAGAACATCGATTGAAAAACGATAATTCAGTTTCTGAGGTAAGACAATGCTGCGTACTGCCCAAAAATTTATTAAATAGGTGTCTATTCAACAGGTTTTAAACTCCACTTTCAAGAAATGGGAAAAAGCAAAAACTATTAGTGACCAAAACTATGAAAAGCAGATATCAGAAAAGAAAACTGAAATCACAAAATTGAATCAAAAATTGACGTGTTATCAAAACGATCTTACAAGCAAGATTGAAGAGGTAAAAGAATTGCATGACGAAATAAATACTTACAAGAAGCGTCTTCAAAACGAAAAAGATAAATTTTTTGTGGATAAAAGGGAGTTTGATAAAATAAAGTTAAAAATGGAAGAAATATATGATGCTAAATTGAATGAATTAAAAACAAAATGGGAAAATGAAAAAGATTCAAACAATGTGTTAAAAAATGAACTGTATGAGGTAAAATGCAAAGGTGATGAATATTTAAAATTATATGAAAACAATTTACAAGCGAATCTGATAGTAGAAAAGAAGTTAAGTGAAATCCAAGAAAAGTTAAAGGAAGAGATTGACCTCAATAACGCACTTTCTACAGAGAATATAAAAATTAAACAAGAAAAAACAGAAATGGACAAAGCCTATGAAAGTCTGTTCGAAGAACATGAAAAACTTAAGCAAGAAAACCGTCTCAGAGAAGTTAGTAAATATTTAAATATTGAAAGTGGTAACTCTTCTAAATATCAAAGTGTATCTGGAAGTTTGACGGAGTTGCATCAGGTGGAGACACAGCAACTGAGGAATGATTTAGCAATAGCGAAAGAGGAGGAAAATATGCAACGTTGTAAGGCTGAGCAGTTAGAGAAAATCGTGGAAAAATTGGAATGTATTCTAAGTGAAATAAATGAAAGACCGAAACTATCCAATAGCTTACTGGAAAAACAAAATGAAAAATTAGAAGATAGGTTAGCTTTGATACGCGAGCAAGTAATAATAGAAAGGCAATCTGCGAAAACAGCAAACTTGTCTTTATGGAAGATTGAGAAACAACTAGAAGAATCAAATGGCGAGAAAAAAATACTACGTCGACGTTTAGAATTATGTGAAACCAAAGCTGAAAGGGCTCAATATCAAAAACGCGAAATAGAAATGCACGTAAAAGAGCTCGAAAATGTTATTAATCAAAAAGAAGCACGAATTGAAGGTATCATTAATTTTCTTTTCATATAACGTACTTTTCATATAACAAAAAAATTAAATTTTGATTGTAGAATTAAAAAAAAAAGTAGATAACATGGATTCTATTTTACAAGAAGAACATCAAAGTTTCATTAATGCTGAAAAAGAATGTAAAAAATTGAAACATGAAATTTTGGAACAAAACCAAAAGACCAAAGGTGTAAATGAAAAAATTAAAAATTTAGAACAAAAAATTTTGCAATTGTATTCAAAAAACGATTCTTTCATTGTGGAAAATAGAGATCTAAGGCAAGAGCTTAATAAAGAAAGAGATCGCGGTGCTTCTTTTTCAGAGCAGGCAAGTAAACTTGAAATAAAGTTAAAGTTTTTCGAGGAGAGTTATAAGTCTTTAAAAATCGCTTGCTCAATAACTGATCAACAATTGACTGATGTCGAGGAGCTTTTAAATGGGGAAATCGAAAAAAATAAAACAAATCAAGAAAAAATTCAAAATTTGCTTCAAAATAGTCAGGAAAAAGCGAAGTTAATATCACAATTAAAAAATGACCTTGATATAGAAACTTCCAAGAAATTGGAAGGTGAAAAAAGTATAAAAAGTTTGCAATTACAATGTGGGGAACTGAAAACCAATATAGAAAATTTAAAAAAGCAATTAATTTCACAAAACAAAGAACTAATTAACATCACTAATAATTTACATTCTACTCAAGAGAATTTAGAAATAACAGCGCTAGAGTCCAATAATATTCGAACAATAAATAAAAATTTTGAGATGGAAATTAAAACTTTTAAAGAAGAGAACTCGAAAATTCTTACAAACTTTTTTCTAATGAAAGAATCAAATAATAAACTTACTCAAGAGCTAAAATTGGCCGATCTAACAATATGCAGATTCAAAGAAGAAAATCAGCAATTGCATAATTTATTACAGGAACAAAAAAAATTAAGTGCGCATAAAGATATTAAATTTGAAGCTACTTTAAAACAATATAAAAAATTGATTGATTACCTGCAACTTAAGCTTGAAAATTTTTCTCAAAAAAAAAAAAAATGTTTAACTGACAGATTTTTTGGCACTACAGCTGTAATTGATAAAAAAGGAAATTTAAGTTCAAATAATGTGGAATCATCGACTTCATTCAATTCTTTGCATGAAGAGTTTAATAGGGAAAAACAAAAAAATATAACTTTTCAAAAGCAGATAAGAACGCATAAAAACAACAGCGAGCCATTTGATTTTGAAAAATGTAATAAAAAAACGCTTGTTCAAGATATTGCTTCGTTTTGTAATTTTGAAAATTTGAATGAAAATGCTGACAAAATTAGAAATTCAACTGCAAGTGATAGTACTGAATCATTTCAGATAAATCACAAATTTAAATTGGATTTAAATGAGAATGAAAATTGTGCAAATTGTATTGCATGTTCGTCTCCCATATTGTGTGGAATGCCTTATTGGATTTGCAGTGAATGTAAATTTACCGTACACAAAAAATGTCGGAGTACTGCAATTACATACTGTAATTCAGACAAAAACGAAAGTATTGACCTAATTAATGAAAAAACAATTACTTTTCAAAACTTTGAGAAAGCTGCAGAAAATGCAAATGATTCCTTTTTGCAGCAAGAAAATTGTTATAATGGTGATACTATAATAAGTGGCGAAAATTCTAATTCACTTCTTGAAATAAACTGCACTTATGATTTGACGCCGGATCATATTTTATTAGGTTTGTAGTAAATATTCAAATAAAATATATCTTTTAGAGTTTATAAAATTTTTAGGTGCAGAAAACGGATTATTTGTTTATTACACTTCTTCCAATTTTCTACTAAAAATATTAGGCATTGATAACGTTCAGTCGTTTTCTGTATCACATATTTTAGGCCTAATTCTGTTCGCAGCAAACAATGGAAACGAGGTACTGCAATGCAATTTAATGAAATTACAAAATTATGTTCATTCAAAAAATCCCAAGTTTGAACCAGAAATAAAAACAATTGATGTCGCTAGTTGTATTGAAAATCGCGACAAATTTCATTTGACAGCTATTTCGGACATACATAACAATGAATATGCAGTTATTGCTGGTTCTTATCAAGTGATCATGATGAAATTTGACTTCAACTCGCAATCCTATAAAGTTTGGGAATGCTTCAAAATTTCAACTAAAGCAACAGCAATTTTGTTTATGCATAATTCCGTAATTATCAGTGCCAACAGGTTCTTGAAAATAGATTTAAAAACCTGTGATATGGAAGAATTTATAAACTTTACCAGTTATAATTCGAATCATTTGCAAAATTATCAGTCAATGAATATTTTTAAAATAAACTCAGACGAGTATTTAACATGTTTTACTGAATGCGGAATTTTCGTTGACAAGTGTGGTCGTAGATCGCGGTCTTGTGAAATAACATGGGAACATATACCAACAAATTTTTTATATCAAGCACCATTTTTGTATATATCCCACATTCAATTTATTCAAATAATTCACTTGCATCAATCATATCACAAAACTGAAAATTGTGAAGAGGAAAATATCAGTTTAAATATAAAGCGGGTTTATCTCAACTTATATATGCCAATTCTATTGGGACCTAGTGGACATGCCAGTTGCTATTCTTCAGCGCGTGATAGAAAAAACGAGAAACTGGAGCTTGTTCTTTTAAATGGATTCAAAGGAATGCAATATTTTTCTTCAGCTGTAAGAGAATGTCAGTAACATTTTAAATAGATTCAAGCCATAATTCTTATTTATTAAAACTAATGTTTTTTAATAATGTTTAAATAAAATTGAAGCTTTAAAACGAGGTGGCTTTTTCAAAAATTCCCGTTACTTCAATAATGCTCTCACGACGTAAATTTTACAATGTATCAATTTCCAAAAAGTTTAGTAAAAAGCTCTTGACATTGTACACTTTTTCTAAATGCGTTTTATACGTAGTGGAGACGCTTTTCGAGCACGCTTTTCTTATACGTTTTTTTCTCTAAAATGCAGCATAAAAATGCTATGTTTTTAAAGATGTAACGTTTTATAAAAATTAACATCTGAACAGAACTTTAAATTGAAATTTTCAAATAAACGTCAAAGTTGTATTGATATGGTAAAATTGTATTCCAAAATGTAAGAAAAGCTTTAGTAGTTTTTTTTACAATGTGAAGGTATTGAAAGCTCTGAGACGGTACTACAACCGTATTAATGTCTTTATATCTAACAAGTCCCAATACTCAGAGAGAAACTTGAAAGCACAACCTTATTTTATATGGGTTTTTTTAAATCGAAGTTTTATTATAAAGCAGGTAAAATTCTAAAATTAACACTTATTATAAAGCAGGTAAAATTCTAAAAATATATTTGAAAAATCAAGAAAATATATTAATATTTTCATTCATAATTATTTTAAAATTCTTGAAACAGCGCAAAAGCAACAAGCACAACCTTCGCCTTCAACGTTTTATATGTTACTGAAAGCATTTCATTATTTTTAAGTGAACAGCTTTTTTTTCTCATAGTGTAAGTTAACTCAAGATATGGGGAGTAACTGTGGTGTCAAGCTGAAAATATAATTAATGAAAAATAATTCTTAAATATTGATATAATTACATAGTAAAGAAAAAATTTGAAGATTGAATTAGAAAATAATATATAAAATACAAACAAATATTATTTTTTAAATACAAATTTTATATACACTTCTAAATTTTACCTCTTTTTGTGAGAAAAATTTTTAAAACTTAATATATTACCTAAGTAAAAAAATATTTAATATGTTTTGGAAAAGACAGTAATATATTTTTATGACCGGATTCGAATATCTATACCTATGTGGGAGTGGTTTACTTTCCCCCTAATTCTAACGAATCCTCTTATAACGATTTCTTTACCATATGTAACGAAATATTTTCACAAATGCATGAGGATGATGAGATAGTTGTTCTAGGTGATTTTAATCGGTCGGCTTTATCGTTTATCAACGATGAATATGATAACCATCTTCTTCCAGTCAACTTCATGGAAGACATCGATTTTAATCTCGTTAGTACGTTCTATGAGAACGACTTGCAGCAGGTGGTACGTTACCCAAATGAAAGAGGTAATTGGTTGGACTTAGCTTTCTCAAATGCCTATGACAGCATACGGGTCCGACTTGCTACAGACGAAGAGAACCTTTTCAAAAATTCTATTCATCATAATGCAATTGTTCTCGAATTTCCTAATAACAAACTTAAGTTCTCTAAATCTTACAATAAAGAAATTGTATATGATTTTCTTAACGCCGACTACAACAGCATCAATTATGCTCTTAGCTTAATTAATTGGAACGATATGTTCCATCAGGACAATTTAGACAATATTATCTCCGATTTTTACTCTATTTTGTTCAGATTAATTGACGCCCATGTTTCAAGAATCCTTAAAAAGGATAGACTGGCGGAACCATGGTTAGACCGTAATTTAAGACAATTACGTAATCGGGGAAATAAATTATACAATAAAATTAAGCATTCTAGGGACAATAACTCACTTATTAATGAATATAATGAGTTGGCGAATGAATTCAAAACTAAATCCAATGAGGCATATGATATTTATATCCAAAATATAGGAGCCTCGATTTTGGGGAACCCGAAAAGATTTTTTGACTTTGTTAACTCCAAACGTAAATCGTCGGGATATCCGAGCTCCATGAGCAAGAACTGGTTAATATCATCTTCTAACTCTGAGATTTGCAATTTTTTTGCCGATAATTTTCAACAAACTTATAGATTAGATTCTCTTTGTAATTATGTCTATACCCCCACTAGTATAGATAACGGTCATCCCCTTTTTAAAGATGTTCATCTTTTAGTAGACAACGTACTTCAGGGTATTTGTGACTTAGAAACCAATAAAGGACCAGGACCGGACCTTATACCGCCTATACTTCTTCATAACTGTAGACACAATTTATCATATCCGCTTAATTTGATTTTTAACAAATCATTATCCTCTGGTTTTTTCCCGTCAATATGGAAAACTTCATACCTCATACCTATTCATAAAAAGGGGGATAAGATTGCGGTTGAAAACTATAGGGGAATTGCCATTCAATCTGTCATTCCTAAATTACTTGAAAAATTGGTTACGGGTATAATTGCACCCATTGTTAACCCATTACTAAATAATGAGCAACACGGGTTTAGGACTGGTCGCTCTGCGACCACCAACCTTTCAATTTTTACATCCGATATTCTTTCGTTTATGGAAAGAGGGTTTCAAGTGGATGCGATATATACAGACTTCAGCAAAGCTTTTGATCGCATTGATCACGTTGTCTTAGAGCATAAGCTAAGACAATTTGGTTTTAGGAACCCACTATTGGGATGGTTAAAATCTTACTTCACTGAAAGGACCCAATTTGTCAGGTTCCAGGGTGTTAAGTCGAAACCTATCCATGTCTACTCTGGAGTTCCCCAAGGAAGTCATTTAGGCCCTATTCTTTTCAATATCTTCATTTCTGACCTCTCTCAGTGTTTGGCGGGTGTTCCGCATCTGATTTATGCTGATGATCTGAAAATGTATCATATTGTAAGGGATATTTCTGACACTAATTATCTCCAATTAAAGTTAGAACATCTAAATTCTTGGTGCGAGACTAATAAATTAGAACTTAACGTTAAAAAATGTTATGTTATTAGTTTTTCATGTAAGCGTTCAAACCTCTTTCAAGAATATTCACTTCAAAACTCCACTTTAGAACGCGTTGACCATATTACTGATCTAGGTATTATTATGGACAGTAAACTCAATTTCAATTTTCATTATGATTCTATTGTTTCTAAAGCAAGCAAAATGCTAGGTTTCATTAAGAGGAGAGCCAGAGAATTCAACAATACTGAAGTAACTAAATCCCTCTATTGCTCCCTTGTTCGTTCTGTTCTTGAATATGGCAGTATTATTTGGGATCCGGCATTTTCTGTACACAGAAATAAAATTGAGTCGGTTCAAAAACAATTTTTGTTATTTGCTTTGAGAGGCCAATATAACCCCAATGACTTCCAAAATATTCCTTCATATAAAATTAGACTTCAATCCCTGAATATGTTAAGTCTGGAGTCACGCCGGTCTTTGTTGTCTCCTTGTTTTACCTATGATGTCCTAACAGGAAAAATAGACGTGGACTTCATTAGAGACAAAATTATTATCAACAACGACGTCAGACCTACCAGACATACTAAATTCTTAAAAGAATATACGCATAGGACTGAATATGCTAAAAATGAACCAATAAATAGATGTTGTACTGTATTCAATCGTTTTAGTCATTTTTTTCACCAGTAGTTACAAAATACACCTTCAAAAAAAAAATTCATAATTCACTACTGACCTAGTACAATATCATATGATAATTATATGACCTAATTGTACAATTATTAAATCATATTAATATTAAATACCTACTCAGCATAAATGATAACAAAATAAAATTCTTTCTTTTTATTTATTATTTTTTTTTTATATGTATCATATTACATTTGTGTAATAAATTCATTTAATGTTTTGTTAGTGTAATTCAACTTAGTCTATAAGTATGTATAATGTATATTTTTGTCAATTTTTGTAAACTATGTAAATTTTTGTAATTATGTAGCATCATGCTTGGTGCAAATTAAATAAAATAAAAAAATAAAAAAAAAATAAAATAAAAATTAATATCTTTTTTATTTTTGAAATAAATATTATCTTAGCAAATGACTTAAAAATTCCGATTGTAAAATGACAGGTATTTTAAAATTTTTGTTCTTTATGTAATATTCTTTCCGTTTAGAATTAAGATAGGTCATACATACACATGCAGGGACATTTTATAAATAGATTGCTCTTGTTTACCTGGTAATAAAATATGAAAAAAAAGCACAGCAAAATTTTTGAAGCACTCAATATAACATGTTTGAAATAGTTATAAATTAATTATTTAAAAAAAAATTGATTGGAAGTAGGTACATCCATATTTATTTTTAATAAATTAAAAACTAACTGAAATTATTTGAAACAATTTGATAAGTAACGTATAAATAACCGAAATGAGATAATTCAAATTGTTGAAATGGGTCAACCATATTGCTTTTATTAACATTTTTGTTAGCCGACACTACTCAACTTACCTTATTGGGAAATGCAAAATGTGCATGAAAAAATTGAGTTCATTTATTATGTTTTGAATATTATTTACGAGAAATTTTAAAAATTTATAATAAAACTACAATTCCCCGCGGATTGGGCCACGAAATATCCGCAGTAAGGTATGTTTGTGGTAAGAGTCCACTAAAATCCAATAGAAATTCAAACGCGACGGACTCACAATGAGTGGCTCTCTGGTCTGCGACTGATCCCTGAGGGACGGCAGGTATTGTATGTGCTGCATTGCAGCTATTCTCAAAGGCTAGGAGACGAAAAGTCGGAAACAAAACAAAACAGATGCAATGAACAAAACACAAGGATTGTATACCCCAAGTGGTAATCCAGTAATGCTGGAAAATCCACACTCTTCGGAGGCTGTTCTCATTAATTCTGGGGGAGACCACTTATTGCATAGTAGATCGGCCTTGACCCATTTAAAAGGAGATCGGGTGTCATGCGACAAAAATGGCAGAGTTAGAGATGATAACTCTGAGAAAAAGTGCAATGAATCTGCAGAACACAAAAAAAAGAAAGAGGGTAATATGAGAAGGCATCTTGTACAGGAGAGTAAATTGGATACTGAGGACTCGAGAAAAACTGAGTTAGAAAGTTTTTGTAAGATGCTACAAAACGAGATTAAAAAATTAA